TCTTTGTTGGTAAGAACTACAACTAAAAGTGGTTATAAAACCTACATTTCTTTGGAGACTATGACTTCGGTGTTTTACTGCAACAATTAGTCAGTGAATTAATGAGAACAATACAATTATTGACCTCTTTTTATTTAATGCCTCATGATTTATGATGAATTATTTTTACTTTGATATTTAGGTTTGAAAACATCTCTGACAGGTTTCCAGAAATGATTTTTCTCATTAGACTGCAGTGTAACATACTGTGTCATGAACTGTATGTCACTGTGTCTTCTTTGTGTCTTCTTTACTATATTCAAATTTGACTTTCATAATCATTTCCTAATTCTTCCATTTCTTATTACTGTGTGACTGAGCATGAAGGACACTGGGATATATAATGTCATGTTCCTAAAAGTAAATGGAGGTTTCTTGTTACTTGTCTCCTCTGGGAATTTTAACTTGTAATGTCTTAAATGACTGCTAACTCAATTAAAACATCACCAAATCAATCAATGAGGAAACATGTTCGTTTCTCTATAATAATACAACTTCTTGCGGTTTCCCTTCATGCTGTTAGAGTCACTGGGTGTTTTGATTCCTTACTTATTATAGGCCCGCCTTATGTAAACCAAGAAATCCAACAACTCTGACTCATGCAGAGGAGGCTGATACTGCTGTTAATGAGGCAGCAGTTCACTTCGATGAGACGGGAAAATGATCATCAAGCCACCAGCGTCAAACAACTGTTTTCATCTGTGAACAGAAGGGGTATAGCATCAGGGCGGATGCTCAAATGTCCACATCCACAGGGCAGAAGCACACGCAGGCTGCTCCCTGCACAGGATCAGCTCCGTAACCGATCTTTGAAGCGCATCCTGACGGAAGATCTTGCCTCCGTGACGCTATTTATAGCTTGGTAATGCATCAGAGGTCACACCTTACATCTCAGCAGAACTAACATCTGCCTCGATGCCTCCTGGCTTATCCAACACTGATGACAGCAGGATGTAGCTGGATGCAGAATGTTACCTTCCAACACGTTCGTAAAGCTGCTGCTAAAACAGTTTTTGGTTGGCATATCACCGTGTTCAGAACAGGTGTGTGTGTCATATGGGCTCTGCGGAGGTGGGCTTGTCGCTCCTGTCTTTTCATAAAGCTACGTTGCACAAAGTGCTGCTTAATCTGATCTGTCTGAGCCAGATTTTTTTTTCTTTGTTTTTTTTTTTTTTTAAACGCAGCCAGTCAGTCCATCAGACAAACATCGAGAGGCCACAAGATAACAAGATAAACCTGGTCTGGCCTGGTGAGGTGGCCCTGAGGAAGGGGTGTACAGATGATGAAAGACCCCTCTGATGTCATGTAAAGCCAGATCAGGCCTGTGGTGCAGCAGCTAATAAATCTGATTTATACCATCACAGACCTTCTTCAAGGAATCGTAAGGCTGTGCTGTACGTCATTACAGCTGGGATGGGATTTATTCCCAGAAAGATTTTGCATTTAATTTTTTTTTTTTTTTTTTAAACGGCACTCCTGCATCTAGTGCTGCCTTGATTATTTAAGCCTGAGAGATGGCAATGACTCCTCTCTGACCTTGGACTGTGACTGTGCTGTCTGTGAGGCAGTCTGAATATATATATATATATATACGTGTGCGCATGCAACTTAAGGCTGTACATCGCCAGACTAAAGAGGATTAACTGTGAACGTGCAGCAATTAAAAGCTAACCACATTGTGTTGTACCACAAATATCTTACGTTTCAACACTGCGCACAAGAGTTAGTTAAGTGTGCCGAAATGCACATTAATCACAACAGTAGAGCTGACAGAGAAATTCCTATTGAGTACGTATATTTATTAATCCCTCTTCGACGTAAACCACTGACGGAGCTGTCACAAAACGCTGCCTAAACGGTAAATGCTAAAAACGTAAATGCACTGTCTGTGTCTAGACGGTCGAAATAGCAGAAGAAATGATCACGTTCATCCAGGTGTCACATTACCATCACTGCTCACTGGAGCCACAAATGACAAAAAAAAAGTTATTAAAAACCAGAGTCAGCGTTCAATTTCCAAAGACCAAAAAGTAAAAAAACGTATTTACCATATGTATAAAATCTGACCAGAAAGTCAAATTAGATTGGTTTTCTGGTTAGGTTTGATGTTGATTCAGGTAGTAAAGGCCAGAGTAACAATACATCTTCCTAGTGTATGCTATGTTTAAGGTGTATAGCATCATGATACATCTGAAGTTTTGAGTAAATAAAGAGGGAAAATAGTTGGTGCAGGAATATGACAGCTCATAGTGATACCATACTAATATTGTTACATCTCAAGCCTGAGGTAGAAACAAATCTACTGTATGACACCTCTGATCTGTTGAATGAGAAATACACTTCCTGGGAGCTGGGGAATCATATTCAAAACAAACAAAGACAAAGACATCTGCTTCTTTTTAAACAAGACACTTTGCAGTGGCAGAGAAAACACGACTGGAGGCGAGGTGGTGAGATTAAAGACGGGAGTCACCAACAGCTCAAAACAGCCTTCTAAATGGAGAACACTGCACTTCTTTATCATTTCAAGGCACAAACTGCTTGAAGCCTTGACCCAGACTTGACCTGGCAACCCACTGCCTACGCACAACAGGGTTGTCTCAATAGTACAGTGCACATTAATCTCCTCCCAGGATTAATTCTTTCCAGGGTTGTGGGGAGGAGTTAAAGAAAATCCCAGAAGTCATTGGGGAACGACAGGTTGCTCCTTGGAAAGTCAACCAGGTAATTAAGTTTATTTGCATTAGACCAGTGGTTCCCAGCAACCCCAGAGGTCACAGCAAGGCAAATACATTTTCATTCATTTTCATTTCAATTGTTGTTTATTTTTTCACTCAATAGAAAAAAATGCAACGATACGTAATTATTAAGGCTATCAAACAATTAGCTTTTTTTATTGGATTAATTACATCTTATCTGGGTTAGCTGATCACCATTAGCCCTGATTAATCTAGATCAGTCAACATTCCTCAATGTGATAAAAGCATAACAGCTAACACATTAATTTGGACAGCTCTGATCGCCTTATTTATGTTGTTAAGCCCGAACACTGATTTTTCTATTTACTTTGCTTTAAATAGAGCTCAATGAAGATTTGAAGAAAAAGATATGGAGCTAGACCGGGGGGTCGGGGGGAGACCGTAGTACAAGGAGTAACCACACACCCAAAAGAGCATTTAGAAGAATGTCAGTTACCACTGGGGAATCAAACCATAGATATTCCTGGTGTAAGGCAAGAAGGCCAACCACTCTACCACAGTGTTGCCAATATCTCTGGGCAATCTATTCAAATCAAACTGACTACATCTGCAGATGTCAGATGTAGTCAAAACAGTGATGTTGCTGCTGTTTGTCTGAAGCTCAAACATTTTCAAACACTGCCTGCTTTTTACGATCTGCTTCTCTGAGTGCTGCTTGGGATTCTTCAGTCGTCCCTAAAGACTCGTCAGTGAAGGTGACCCGGCTTTGCTGAAGAAACCACAGAGCTAAAATGAGCTTTTCAAACTTACGGCCAAAGTAAATATCACCTGGAGGCCGAAAAGGAAAATTTCTTGTCTTTGACCTCGTGTCTGCTCAAGTCAATTATAAAATATCAACATATCCTGAAATATACCAGTCCCCTAGGTATATGAGCTTGTTCTAGAAAGCTAGTGTAATGATGCTGTAATAATGTTGTGCTGCTTAGTTTCTTTGATTCTTTAGGGAACAGGAGAACCAATATTTTATCCCACTCAACTAATTGGATCTATTAATTTGATGTTATATATATCAGGTGCACCATGGGATACCTAACCAAAGAGCACGTGAGCAAGACCTAAATCTGCGATGTGGTTTGATTAATTTAACAATCTTCTGTGAAAAGTTTGTCTCAACCCACACACACACTCACACAAATACACCACACCCAACGCTCAAAGTACCCAGAATCCATTGCACCTCAAGGTCACCTGAGTCCTCTCTGGCACACAGCCTGTGTAATTCTCTTCTCTCTTTTTTTCCTTTTCCAAGACAAAGTAACTGCACAAACGGGAGCAGCAAGTCATTCATGTCAGGATTTTTTTTTCTCCAGCGATGAGTCATGTTATTTTTATCATTTGTTTTATAAATAGAGAAGTAAACGCCACTGAGGAGTTATTCTCCCTCAGCAGCGTGTATGCATCCTTTACGAACTCAGAATAAATCCGGGCTCAATGATGACTTCATTGAACTAACTCTTATTTATTATCATGTCGGACAGAAAAGTTCACACCGTGGATAATCCTGTCACCAATTTTAAACTGCGTGTAGCAGGTTTTGACCTCAAGTGTCATTGAACAGGTAAATGTTCTGTGAAGCAGTGTGATTATTCACTATTCATGGTGTGGGGCAAAAAAAATGCAAATAAGGAAATCAAGAGAGAGTAAAGCAGGACAAAAGTGATCATTACACTGTTAAATATGCTGTGTTGGTTAAACTATTTTTACATTTACACATTGCAGTTTGTTGGTCTTGAGAAGCATCACTGGAAGAAATATGATAGTACACTGGGCAGTTACAGTAAGTTGGTAAAAGTTACCAAGGATTCCCCACTGACAACCACAGGTTTAGTCTGTCAGCTGCTCTATGCTGAAACATCTGTGCACAAAAACTTCATTTGACAATTGTCAATGGGTTTCTGAGAAAAATTCATTTTGATTTTGAAAGCGTGTCTCCACGAGCAAAATGGATTCATTTTCCTTTTTCACTCAGCGGAACCAATCGTGAAATCGTTACAATGGCAAACCAGCTGCACGGAAAATGTGAAAGGATGTGTGTGTGTGTGTGTGTGTCTGTGCCAGAGGAGACAATGAGAAAAGGTCATTTATATTAGATAAAATGCAAAAGAAAAAGCAGTGCTCTGCTGCACTAGATGAATTGCATTTAAAGAGCAGATGGTGGTGGAGGGTGTGGGGAGAAAAGAAATGATGAGGAACCCAACTCACCTTGGGCTGCACTGCTACTTCCACCACTTGATTCTTTTTAATGCAGTTTTTGACGAAGCCCTCCAGTTTGCTGTTGCACTTCATGAAGATGACGTAGGCAGCGTAGCTGGACAGCAGCGTGATACTTTCCCACATGGAGATGATGTTGTCCAGGAAGAAGATGATGAGCATGATCAGATCCCGGATGTAGAAGGAGCGTGCACGGAGTCGAGGCCACCACGAGAAGTT